GGGATGACTTTATTTTTGTTTTTGAGTATATGTGCACAGGGAGTACTATACTCATTTATGTTCTTAGGACTTCTAAAGACCAGAATCCAGTATTCCTATAACATCTTCATCACATATGGCTATGAATGTAATTACACAGAATGTTCTAAAGCTAGTAAGTTTGCCTGTGATTCTCCCTTAGAATGGGAAGGAACACAACCCTACAGACCCATTTTAGATTTCTGATCCCCCAAACTGTGAGGTAATAAATTTGTGTCATTTTAAACTACTGAGTATGTGGTAATTTGTTCCAGTAGTCACAGGAATCTAGTATACACTACCTTAGAATATGCTTCCTGAAGCATATTCTTTCAACACTTTGAGTGAATCAGTATTAAAATTAAATTATTTCTGCCTTTCATTTTGTTTGTGTAGGGCCATCTGTGCAGTCCTACTCCCATTTCTAGTACTGACCTGTAGTGACCACCATTCCTCCTTTCTGCCCTTATACTATGATTTGAATGTCCAAAACTGTGGCTGAAATGTCATTACCACTGTGACAGTAGTGAGAGATAAAACCTTTAAGAAATAATTGAGTCCTGAGAGCTCTGCCCTCATAGATGCCATCATCATGGGACTGGGTTCCTGATACAGAAGGTGAGTTGGGTCTAATTTTCCTCTTTTCATCTTGTGCTTTTTGCCCACCTTTCTGACAGTTATGATGTGGCACAGTGTCCCTCACCAGATGCCAGCACCATGCTGGACTTCCCAGCCACCAGAAACATGACCCAAATAAACCTCCATTGTTTTTCATCTGTCATATTCTGTTACAGCAGCAGAAAATTAACTAAGACACCAACATTGTGTATGGAGCCTTTCCTGATAGTTACACCGTGGTTCACCTGGCCCTTTCTTAAAGAATGACAGTGCTCACTTCACTCACTTTGGCCATTAATGATGTATTTTTATAAGGACAGAAGTATTGAAAATGATGAAGAAAATTCTGCAAGTTTGGAAATGTGTAGGTTGGAGTTTGGAAAACTTATACCAAATCTACCCTTTTCCAAATTCTGTTTTACTACCATGTATGTTATTCTGAAATAGTCAAGGTCAACAGCTAGCCACCCTTGAATGGCTTCCAATGGCCCTACAGGTACCTGACATTCTGACTTAGGCTGCCGGGGGGAACTTCTGTTAGTCAAGGACTGAAGCCTAGTCCCATTTCATGTCAGGGAGAGTCATGAAAAGCATCTTATGATCCACACTGAACACCTGTGATGTCAGGGAAGGAGACTCAGTTCTGATACCACAGCCCAGGAGATGCCTGGAGCAACCTAAGGCACAATCCCTAAGGCTGGACGGCATGTTCGTGCCACAGGTGAAGCCAAAGAGATATTCAGATGTGTACAGCCAGAGAGATGGGCTTGGATTACTCTCTTCCTTTCCATATTCTTTTTTCAGTGGTGCTAACTGCTGAGTGAGGTCCCCATGGAGTGGAAAAGTAATCCCTAGCAGCTTGTACTGTTAAGGGTAGGAACTTGCATCTCTTTCCACATCTAACATACTGCCACATATGGTTCTTTTTATGTACTGAAATAACATACACATATAAAATAGGAATGCCTCTTGCCTATAAAATGAATTCACCTTCCCTTGAGGACATTAGAGGAAAGTGACATTGGACGTTGGAGATGTCCAGTAGCTCCCAGTATTGGAGAAGCCTCCACTTACATAGCAATATCTGTGGCATTTTCCCAATAAGACAGACCATCCTGAGACCCAGTTGCTTCCCATCTGTTCAGGACCGATTCTGAGGTAACATTCTCTTGGTTCAGAAGATGCTAGAGGGGAATAACCTCTGTCTACAAGTAGAATGAGAGGAACTGAGTGGAGTGGCATAGGCAACAGGACGGAGTATTTAAACCCCAACTAGATTGCCCCATACTGTGGAAGAGGGTGAGACCACTTGAGAGTAAACCATGGGTGAAAGAATCAAGGTTGAAGGTGGCTCTACATTTCAATTTTTTCCCATTAATAGAATGTAAATACTCAGTATGACCACACACACACACACACACACACACACACACACACACACACACACCCATACTTGCAAACCCTCTTCCATTGTATTCATCAACAACATAAAGCCAGGCCAGAACAGCAATGATGACATGCCAAATTGTTGTCTGCTGATGACCTGGAAAGAGGACACTGTGTGATCTCACCCTTCAGCTACTTCTCCCTGCCTTTGCCACCTTCCTGAATCCCCTGCAGCTGGTCAGTGGTAGAACCCATTGCAGGGGTGGGATTCCGAGTGGCTGGTGAACCCACTGCCCTAGAATCTGAAGTTTACAGATTCAAAACAAAAAGTCAGGAAGAGAGGAAGTCTAGTGGAATAAACAGCATGAGGGCGAGTATAGACTCTTTCAACATTGATTCTTCGCTGTCCTTGTCACTACGTGCTGATGTAGTGTACATTTTATTTCCTTCTCCAATGTCCATTTCCCACATCTGCCTATCATAGACCAGATTTTGTTCAGCATCCAGCTCTCTCCTTCCTAGCCTCTGCTAGCCTGTGACAGATAACCCTCTCCTCATTGATTTACCCTCATTTAAGGTAATCACGGTAACTCCTCTTTCATCGTCAGCCATTAGATTAGGAATTGATCATGTAGTTCCACTTAGTTCAAAGAGTCTCAAAGGGAAATCTGCTGAAAAATCTCTACAGGTTTTATTCATAAAGGGGGCAGGATTCAAAAAAGAAGTGGTA